TTACAATATCCGATACTTCATTTGAACCAGAGAACGAATAAATTCATCATTTGAAGTATTCATCATAACAGTAGTATTGACAATTATTTACATATATGAATCGGACACTATTCACGACAATCCACATAAAATTTTATGGCGACGCATACGTACTTATCCCAGAAAAGTGATAGTTCTCAGCCCAAGTTCCTTTGTTCTACACATTCGATTTCCCCTTATACACCGGTGCGTACTCCCCAACGAACTGAGAGTTTGAAATTAATGAGCAAAAAACGTCCCCTGATTATCGACTGATGTCCCCCTACTGTAATATGCACCGTGTGTGGCACACGCATGTGGTCGATGTTCGTATCAGAGAAAGCACGCGCTTGCGTTCTTGTCAGCATTGTGACTAAACTTCAGACTGTCATTCAGTCGACAGCGTGTACTGAAGCAGTCAGCATGCACCATCAGTCACGCAATGACACGAAGGAAGAGCCAAGTAATTGGAATTCTGTAAGGGACGTACAGTACACGCTACAGCTGAGCAAGTGGCTGTTGAAGCCGATCGGAGTTTGGCCGCTTGTTTCCGGTCGAAGCAGCAGACTGGATTATTTCGTCTCCGCGGTTCTAATGGTCACGTGCTTCTCGAGTATCTTCTTCATCATCGTACCGTCCGGCCACTATGTCCTCTATGTGAATAAAAGCGTACAGATGAAGTTGAAGCTGCTCGGACCGGTGGGTTTCTGTGTGTCCTCTGTATTGAAATACTGCTGTCTCATTATAAAAAGTACCCCCTTGAAACGGTGCATCCAACACGTGGAGAAGGATTGGAGAACGGTACAGGACCCTAACCACTGGAGAATTATGTTAAAGTATGTGACGATCAGCAGGAATTTAATCACCATCTGCGCCAGTTTCATCTACACAGGTGGTATGTCCTTTCACACGGTTATGCAGTTCTTGTCGAACGATAATAGCACCTTCAGACCACTCTCGTATCCCGGCTACGATTGGTTCCTCGATGTGCGGTCGAGTCCTACTTACGAAATAGTGTTTCTTACTCACTGTCTCGCGGCTATGACTATGTACACTGTTACGACTGCCGCGTACAGTTTAGCAGCGATCTTCGTTACTCATATCTGCGGCCAGATTCAGATAAACATAAAGAGATTGCAGGAATTGGTCCAGAAAGTGGAGAACAACGATGTTACACCCGACCCGATGGCGATCATCATTCATGATCACGTCGAGATTATCAAGTAGGAATCGAAGACTCTTCAGCAAGGGGTGAAAAATGATCATTTTTTACGTAACTTACAACATCGAATTTCAGATTTGCGAGAAACGTTGAAGAAGCTTTGCGCGAGATATGTCTCATTCAAATCATCGAATCGACGGTGAACATGTGCATGCTCGAATACTATTGTTTGTCGGTAAACGATTTCAACCTTATTCATATAATTCGATTGAAAATTATATGGTAATGGTAAACAA